CCCCCCCCCCCCCCCCGTGCTGGGATTACACGTGTGCACCACTATGCCAGGAAAGAAGCTGTCCTTATCCTGTATTGTTCCTCCAATACCTTCTTAGGAACTAAGCATCACACTCACTGTTAAAAACAGAAAAATCAAATAGTCTAAGATTCCATTATCACAGAGCAGGTAATGAGACCCACATTTTCATCCCTGAAGCAACAATTTAATAATTAGCACTGTCTAGGTTACCTTTCTCTTGTTGAGACAAAATACTGAAAACCCAAAATTAAGGAAGAAAAGGTTTATGTAGCTCAGTTTGTGTAGATTAAAGTCCACATTTAGCTGGCTTCAAGGCAGAGGGCAGTAGTTCATGGTGACAGAAAACAGGGAAAGCTATAAGAGCAAAAAGAGGAGCAGGGACTGGGGATCTAACTATGCAAGGTCCCAAGTTTGATTTCCAGCACCAAAAAGAAAGAGCAGCAAAGGGGCTGGGGAGACGGCTCAGTAGAGTAAGTGCTTCCCTGGCAAGCACAAGGACCTGAGTTCAGTCCCCAGTTCCACCAAAATCAATCAATCAGTCTTTTAAAAAAAAGAGAAGAGCAGCAGGAGCAAGCCTCTTTCCCTCCCTATTTATATTGTATATAAGTATACAATATATTGTAGTGGTGCACACCTGCCTCCCCCTAAGTGGGTGTAGCACTCATACTCATAATCCCAGCATTGGATGATGAGTCAAACATAGATTCTAGAAGCCCACCCCATGACCACATGAAGCTTTGGGAGGACAGAACCGTAACAGTCACATTGAACAGTAAGAATAGGACACATTCACTTGCTCAGGAGCTGACTTTTACCTCAATTACCATTTCAGTAGAGGCATATGTGGGATAGAAGCAATGTGGTAAATGTACCTCGCTCACATTTTTCTTAGAAACAATAGGGTAGTTAGATACAAAGTCCGCGCTCAAATATCAGTAGGTCACAAATCGCAAACTCACTGAATTCTCAGTACCAAAAAAAAAAAAAAAGATAATTTAGTAAATTAAAGTTACTATATTAGCTGAAGTTCTTTTTGGCTATTTCCAAGAGAATGGAAAGCATACCTCTACACAAAACTTGTACATAAATACTTAGAAGAGTACTCTTCAGAATAGTTAAAAAGTAGAAGCAACCCATATGTTCATCGACTGGTGAATGGATAAAGAAAAGATGACATATACTTAGAATGGAATGTTATTAAATGGGATGTGATAGTGTACCCCTGTAATCCCAGCACTCAGAAGGATGAGGCAGGAGGATCACAGTGAGTTTGAGGCCAGTCTGGTATACACAGTGAGCTCAGGGACAGTCTGAACTACATAGTGAGATTCTGCCTCAGAAAAAAAATGAATGTTATGTTGTGTGAAAAGGAATGGCATAGTGAAACTGAATAAAACATGGTGCCGTGGTTTGGGGTTTTTGCAAGGTGAACAGTATAGTACAGAACACATTTTGTAATGCCGAATCACTCAAGAATCACATAGTACAGGGGCTGGTGAGATGGCTCAGTGGTCTAAAGCACCTACTTAGAACAAGCTAAGCTACACAAGGCACAGGGACCGCAGTTCAATTCCCCAGCACCACATGCCAGCCAGCCCTGCCCCCTGGAGGGCTGAGCTGGCCACACACACACACACAAAATAAATAAATAAATAAATCTCTAAAAAAAAAAAAAAAAGAATCACATAGTACAAGTGCAGGGAATATACACACACACTAAATACTACAAAATCCACCTGAGGGCCTAGATCTCATAACTACCTCCGACCAGTCCAACTGGAGGCCTAGAGCTCACAACAAAGTCTCATGCAGGCCCACTTTATAGATCTGTGCAGGAAAGGCCCAAAGGTCAGTGGTGGAAGCTAGGAAGTCTATGCCAGTGGGATCAAGGATCTGTGCTTGTAAGCTGAGGGATCTGAACTGGAGCTAGGAAGCAACACTCAAGGTAAGTGCCAGAGCTCCCCCAAAAGTACCACAGCTGTCCTCAGAAACAGTGAGGTGCCAAGTTCCCATCAGGAAAGCCAATGCGACAAGCCTCTCCATGAGGCTGAGTAGTGCACCATCTTCACTTCAGAGCCAGAAAGCGATGCTCAAAATACGGACCCAAGCTTCTCCAAAGTTCACTGGGAAAACCAGCATGACAAGGTCCTTCAGCAGAACAGCCCAAGAGAACTAGCAGCTTCCACCAGCTCCAACAGCTTCTCCAAACAGCATCCCTAACTGTGTTTTAGCAGCTTCTCCTGTTCTGCCTTTATGCTGCTGGCAACAGCCCTCAGATGGGCCTCCCACACTAGTTTAATTCAGCTGGGTGTAGTAAGTTGACCACCTGTTAAAAATCCACTACACATGGGTTGACCATGGAACCTGCTGAATGAAAGAAGACATAGCACAGCACAATTCACAAAGCACTAGCTGAGTTCAAAAGATAGCCTAGATCCCCATCAATGAACAAATAGATGAAGAAAATGTGGCATATATGCACGGTGAAATTTTATTCATGTATAAAGGATGAATTCATGTCTTTTATAGGAAAATAGATATATCTTGAGACCGTAATGTTAAGTGAAATAAGCCAGACATAGAAAGTTATATTATCACATGACTTTTCTTACGTGAGAAATCCAATTATAAATACATTAAAGAGTAAAATAAAAGCAGACTTTCTGTCATAGTGGAAAGGGGAAGCTAGGCAGGAGGAAAAAGGAGACTGCAAATGATCAAGATAGTTTTGTCTACCTCCATGTACCAGTATCAGTGTATTTAAAAAAAAAAACACGACTCAAAAGAGCACACAGTGTATGATTTCATGTGTGTGAAATAACCTAGAACAGGTAAAGCTTCAGGGGCAGAAATTTGGTCAGCGGTCACCAGGTGGTGAGTGCCGAAGTGAATCAGAACAGCTGCTACTATGTGTACTTTTTTTTCTTTAAACAGGTTCTAATTCTGTATTCCAGCATAGCCTTGAATTCATCTGGGCAGCCCAGCCTGGCCTCAAACTTGTAGCAATTCTGCCTCAGCCTCCTGAGTGCTGGGATTATAGGCACACATCACCACATCTGGCCACATTTTCTTTTTTAGGCTAAGAAAGTATCTAGTTTAGATGGTGGTGATCAGTAAATAATGTTGCTATTATTTAAGAAACCACCAAGATGTGCCTGCTAAATATGTGAATTTTATCATCTATAAACCCTGTTTTCTTGGAGAATAATATAGGCAGAAGATATACAAAATAAGCACAGAATGTCTTGTGATACCATAAAGTAATGCAGAAAAAAACCTGAAAGAATGGAATACTAATAAAATAAATTAAGACAGTTTTTTTGGGGCTGGTGAGATGACTCAGTGGTCTAAAGCACCTACTTAGAACAAGCTTAGCAAAGCACAGGGACCGCGGTTCAATCCCCCAGCACCACATGCCAGCCAGCCTCGCCCCCT